TGGTAGTGAGTTCAATATGTGCGTATGCTAGTAGAGTGAGGATGGTGTTTCGATGATGATAATTCTTATGAATAAAAGTTACACATAACTTGAAAGAGGAAATTAACCTAAGACGGATCTCAGTTTGAGACTCTGCCTAACTTTTCCTGGCACATCGTCCTCGCTGCTTCAAGCAGGTCGTACACTTGACCCTCTGCTTATGATTAGTTCTGACTGGTTCTTGCCCCTGATGGGAACTGGGAAAATTCCAGCAAATTGCCAAAAGACACACAGCTAGGGTAACTTTCTAGTGTAACAATTAGTCATTGGCATGCTGGCAGCAGTCTGAATTGAATTCAAGATTCCTCATTTTATTAACTTTCCCCTCATCTCAGTTAAAAGGGTTTAGCTCCTCCTCTTATCTGTATCAAACTATTTACTTCAGGAAAGGCTTTAAGCCTCACCACTGAGGTTCCTTCAAACTACAGTTATCTTTCTTTGTGTCTGTCAATTAAATAATGACTGCCCGCATACTTACCAAACTTTCTAAAGTGGATCCCATCTGGTTCTACCCAGTGTCAATAAAGGGTATGAGAAACCAGTCAAGCAGAGGCGTCATGTCTGGACTCTCCCTTGCCCAGGTTACAGTTTCAGAAGGCTTGTCAGATTGTGTAATATTTCTGACACCTCGGGTGTTGGGGCCTTGGGGGTAGGGGGTGGGGGGGAGATGACCCACATACACACGTGTGCACACACCTCCTACCTCCACAAGCATGTAATAAAAGTAAACTATATAGGGGTGTTTTCTTCGAGTTCAGGGTGCATCCGCCTGAGAGGTGAGGAACCAACAGCCTGTATGAAAGTAGGCCATATTTGTAGAACGGATGTGCACACAAAGCTCAAATTCTGGAACATGGTCAAAGTCCAGAAGGGGACGAACAACCAGAACTTTCTGCCAGAGTTTACAGCTGGTGAACGTGAAATAGAAAAAAAAGAGTGGCACAGTCAGGTGACATCTCCACATTAAAACTTATCTGCACTGAATCATCCACACTCATTTGCCCTGGTTGCACACTCTCAGATTGCCGTTCAGTTATCTCTTGATGTTGTAATCCCAACTTGTCTCATTGTCTCTACCTCTTGTTCACTTGCTTTGTTTCCCCCTGTGGCACAGTTTTTAAAAGAACGTGATATCTTTTAACCCTTCCTAACTGAGAAACCACATATTTGCTGTTTCCACCTGTTTCAAATTCTGGGAAACTGCTTTTTTCCCCTGTTTCATCACATCTAGTCTCCTGAATCCCGTGTTTATCCGTTTTAGTACTGTTGATGATTGTGCAGTGTTTAATTGGACTGGATTGTATAATGTTTCTCCCTCAAAATAGAACCCGAGTGATTTATTATCCTTGCCTTCTTGTGGACAGTTAATGGTGATTTAAAGTATAAGTTGTCAGTATAGAATGGCAAGATTCTGTGATGATGAAAGTGCAGGGGTCCTGAAAACAACCAGAGATGTGGGTTGTGTCTCCTCGGTTGCTGTTGTCTGCATGTGGCAGTCAGCACAAACCTTGGGGATGATACTGCATATCTGAGCAAAGTAAACTCTCTCTACCCATCCCTCCCCTTTTTCACACACACATATACTCACTCTCTGTAGATAGTAATGAAATGCAAGGATCAATGGTATTGGAAGTGCAGGGCTCCTGAAAACATGTGGGTTGTGTCTCTTTGGATGCTATTGTCTGTGTGTGGTAGTCAACTCATACCTGGGAGATGATACTGCATATCTGAACAAACACTCTCTCACTCACATGCACACACACAAAAAATGTCCATAGACAGTGATAAAATGGCAAGAAACAGTGATGATGAAAGTACAGGGGTCCTGAAAACAACTAGAGATGTGGGTTGTGTCTCCTTGGTTGCTGTTGTCTGCATGTGGCAGTTGACCTAAACCTGGGGGATGATACTGCATATCTGAACAAAGTAAATGTTTTCTCTATCTCTCTCTCTCTCTCTCGCATACACACATGTGCATTCACACAAGCATACACGTCCATAGACAGTGATTACTCCAAATAGTCATGGCAAGAATCTGTAATGATGAAAGTGCAGGGGTCCTGAAAACAACCAGAGATGTGGGTTGTGTCTCCTTGGTTGCTGTTGTCTGCGTGTGGCAGTCAACTCAAATCTGGAAGATGAGGCTGCATATCTGAACACATAATGATTCTACATGGTTATGCATACTCAGTGACTTGTTCCAATGATACACTTAAAATCAGCTCAGTCAGGTGCTGTCACCACAATCATTATGACAGGGGATCTCTGACACGCTTTGTTGTACACTCTTACAAACTGCTGTTTACCTAATCCTCAATGTTATCTTCTCACTTTTCTCATTGTCTACCTCCTGCTCACCTGCCCTTAAGTTTCCTTTCCATTATGGTTATTTTTAAGAGTATTCTTTCTTAAAAATGGCCTGTATACCTTCTTCTTCTTTTTTTTTTTCTTCTTGTTCACCAGCTGTACATTCTGGCGGAAAGTTCTGGTTGTTAGTCCACTTCTGGACTGCAGTCCTGTTCCAGAACCTGAATCTTGCTTGTGCATCAGTTTTACAGATCTGATTCCTTTAAATGCAGACTGTTGGCTCCTTGCAGATGCACTATGACTTCAAAGGAATCTCCCCAAATAGTCAACTTTTATGACATGCTTATGGGTAGGCAGTGGGTCTATTCTTGTTTTCCCCACAATGGGGCCCCGGAACCCACACGGGGACCTATATATCTTATTTGCCTTTGTTTAATTTAATTTTTTTTCAGTAATTCTTTTACTTTACCTCAATTTCTTCATTGCCATGGTTGTATCCTCTCTCAGCATGCTGTTTGCTTGTCTCTTGATAGTATCCTTTTACTTGTCTCAGTCTACTTATTGCAATGACTGTATGTATGTGTGTATGCCTGTATGTATGTGTATGTATATGGGTGTGTATGCACGCGCAGGGTTTTTCATGCACTTTACAACTCGTGCTTTTGTGTTCTTTTATAATATTTATAATATGCATATCATCATATGATCATAACATGCTTTATTAGTAAAATACAACTGCTGTGCGAAAGATGGTTGCCTGGAAAAGCCGAATGTAAGACGGGCCTCTGTGCCCAATTTGTGACCCTTTGAAAATAAGGTTTGTTCGTTCGTTCATTTATCCGTTCACCAGCTTTCAATGTCCTCACCAGAATTATGGGGGGGGGGGGGGGGGGGGGGGGGGGGTGTGTGTGTGTTAAAAATGATATATCATTTATAGTATTTCACGTTTCTCCTTTTTAAAAATATTTTTCCAGCTCTCTCAAAATCTGTACTTTATTGAGTGTTGTAAAATTGCTTCTTCCATTTTTTTTATTTTGGCTCTAATCAATACATCATGAAAGACTGACTTTTCCTCTTAACTTTCTCGCGTTGTAAATGTCAGTTTTTTGTATTTTTCTTTCTAAATGACTTGGCGTCTTTGGGCCATGGTTGACTATGCCTCTATAACAGCTTTGGTGCTTGTTGCAGCTGTGATATTGTGTAAATGTGCTGGCTATAATTGTATTCATTAAAATAATTTGAAGTATTATCGAGGATGGAACAATGGCTTTCTTGTATCTGTGACATAATGACACGTCACTTTGCTCCACATAGCTAGATCTTAGATCTCAGCAAAGCCACTTTTTATGGTCAGAGGAAGTGAAAGCCGCTGATTCTTTGATCTGTATTTTGTGATTTCTGTCCCCCCTCCCCCCTGCTATATTTTTGTTTTGTTTCACCGCCCACATTTTTATATTGGCTTGGTAGCCATGATAACACAGTGGCCAGCAGGCTTGCTGTCTGCTTCTTGGTCTTAGACTTCAACCCCCTGGATTTGTATAGAAAATGACAAACACTCCAAATTTCTTCTTTTCCTTTTGTTTCTCAAGGCACAGTTACAGAGAATTATCATCATCATGTGCCTTGCTAACTGGCGTGGGTGATCATGCCTCTCCACAATCTACGATCTCCTGCAGTATATATCATTTTGTTTACTGACACACCTCCATGCCATACAACAAGACTGTCAAGAATCTTCTCTCGTCTTCCTCTATCCCTCTCCTCCACAGATCTTTTTCTAGTGGTTACAACATGTTCCATTTTCCCCCTTCTTATAACATGGCCAAAAAATTATGACTGTCTCCTTCTGATGTCTGTGATTAGTTGTCTTCAGGCTCCTGCCTCTTTCAGAACCTCTTGGTTGCTCTTTTTGGTTGTCCAAGGTATACAGAGAATTATAAGAATGCTTTTCTTTCTAATAAGCTTAGGAAAAGATTTTTAAGGGGCTAACAGGCTAAATCTCTAACTATGCATAACATGTTCTCTAACTGTATACATTTGTTCAGAAAATAATCAAGATGTCTAATTTCCCTAACAGGCACTTTGAAACTAATGTGATCATAATTTTTCGTAGTTATTGTTTTTGTGTTGAACATCTCTTGTGAGATTTTCTGGGACTTTTCTCTTTTTTTCTTTCCCCAGTGACCTTATCAAAGTGTTGAGTGAAGAACTAAGGATCTTCTTTGTGCACTTTCTAATGCATTGAATAAGGTGATCTTCATTTCTTTAATGCTGTCTTTTGCTCTTATGTTTGTTGTATTCTTCAGCATAGCTCTCTGTGGCATTTGGTACCAGGGCATTCTTGTGAGATAACCAGACCATCTCATCTGTTGCTCTTTAATGAATTGTATTGACTGATTTCAGTTTTAATCTTCATTTGATTAATTTTTTTAATGTTATCTCTTCTGTTACCGAAGCAACTCTTTTCAGACATCTCATCTCTGTTATGATTTTTGACACTTTAGTTATAGCAAGGTTCCATGTTTGGTGGCTGATAGTGTAAACCAGTATAGTTTCATTGACTGAACGAGCATAAACCAGTTTAGTTTCATGGACTGAGCGAGTGAAATGTCCACACATATTATAACATCTTATCAATGAGATTTGTTTTCCAGAGATGGCCGAGTGATGGGTGTTTTAGAAGTAGCAAGATCTATTGGGGACGGACCTTACAAAAATCATGGTGTCACATGTATTCCGGACATCAAGAGGTGTCAGCTCACAGACAATGACAGGTAGAGCTTTTTCTTTTCCTCTTGAATATTTTGTTAGATGACTTTTTCTCAGATATGGAGCAAAAGTTAAATTCAATCGAAAACAAATCTAAGTCACCGGAATTAGTTCAGTTGTCTACCTGAGCGCAGCATTAGTGATGCTGCCATATAGTTCTGTTCCTTCTATTATGTTTAGACATTAATTACAGAATGTTGGTAGTTTTCCCCCACAGCATCTAGCTTGAGAATGGAGGCAAGAAACAGTCAACTGTATTTAGTTTGCATGCTGGACACAACAGACTTTGCAGCCATATGTACATAAAATTCTAGATCCAGGCATAGAAGCAGTTCTCACACTGTTGGTCGTGACCCCTATGGGAGTCGAACGACCCTTTCACAGGGGTCACCTAAGATGATCAGAAAACACAAACATTCATTTATGAAGTAGCAACAAAGATAATTGTAAGGTTGGGGGTCACCACAACATGAGGAACTGTATTGAAGGACCGCGGCATCAGAAAGGTTGAGAACCAATGTTCTGTAGGCATGCTCTGTACATGCAGTAGAGAGGTCCCAGGTTTGGCTGGTTGGCATTATAAAGGAAACCAAGCTGTATGGAATAGTGGAAGACATGCGTTGCACCAAAGACTTCATAGAGACCTGTGGCCTTTCCATCTAAAAACCACTCACAGAGAGAACTAAAAGAAAAAGAAGACTTTAGGTGGAGGCAGTCAATGCAGCCTTCTGCTAGCTGCATAGACATGTGGTGATTGTAACGTAACTTACAAAGCATGCTGAGAAAGATGGAGACAGATATGCTCCATGCAGAGTGACAAGCTTGACTTTAGTTATCACGGTCATTGGTTTTCTTTGGATATTCTCTCCATTATATGCAAGTGTGTTGGGAAATGAACAGGAGGCATGTTAGCTGGTTCTACACTACATTGTGGACAATTGATGCATCACAAGTTACATTTGGGAGCAAGTCAACAGTGTAGAGGCATAAATAGATCATCCTAATCTGTAGAGAATCTTCTTCTTTGCATTCACCGGCTCTAAACTCCAGCGGAAAGTTATGGTTGTTCGTCCACTTCTGTAATCCAGTTGTATTCCAGAATCTGAGTGTTGCGTGCACATCTCTTTTACAGATCTGGCCCATTTGTTTGAACTTTGTTTTCGATGGTAGTCGACTCTCACAGCATGCTTTTGGGTAGGCAGTAGGTCTATTATTTTCTGCCACAGAGGTTACCTAGAACACACAGGGAAATCTGTAGAGAATAGTATGTCAGCAAGTGACCTTGGGATCTGGCAGACACTCAACACTCTGGGAATATGCCAGATAAATATGCAGCCTGCTGATAGTGGGTCTAGCGTGCATATGGGAATGTGCCAAGTGCTTTAATGTTAGTTCATAACTCGGCTAGTTTATCATGGGTTTCTGCTCTATATAGCAGCACTCCCTCACACCACCACCTGAGAAAAGTGTGTTGCTGTTACTGTCTTTCTGATTTCCTGTTTTGTGTGTTTCTCTGCAGGTATCTTATGATTGCCTGTGATGGTCTTTGGAAAAGTTACAGTGTGGATGAAAGTATACAGTTTGTCAACAAGATATTAGAAGTAAATATTATTGCCATATTCATAACATTCCCCATGTTCACTCATAACATTCTAATACATGGATATTATTAATGCACTCTGAGAACTGGGAAGGGTGGGGGACTTTGGGGGCAGTGAATCCACATTACTCGCCAGAATGACAGGCATGAGAGTTCGCATAGCAGAAAATGAGACTCACATCAGAGGACTTGTTAATCAAGATAGAACTGCTACTGTTGTCCACAGGACGCTGGGGTTCATACTGAGAGGGAGTATCTGAGCACTTGTGGACATGTCCGGAGTGCAATGATGTTAACCCAACTAACTAGCTAATTCTGATTTAGTTTTACTGAAATAAGCAGCTTTGATATGTTTACAGATTTTTTTAAAAATTGCACTGAACTCTTAGTTGTCTCCTTCTTCTTCAGCATTCTAAGATCAGGGGGTTCATTGCTTTAGATATTACCCACCTCCATTTTAATCTCTGCAGCTGGCCTTCTTCTTCTTGGTGACTCCAAGTGTTTGTAGGCCTGCCTGTACATTATCTCTGTGGTCAGCTCTAGTGTGTATGCAATCTTTGTCTTTCTGTTGTCCGCCATTCTTCTTGGTACATACTGTGTCTTAGTTCTCATGATACCAGTAATAAGTGGTGATTTAGACAGATTGTGAATTTTATTGTTCCTTCTCTGCTAAACTTTTTTTTTGTTTTCAACAGGATGACACTATTGTAGCTACAGGCAGGAGGAGCGCAGAAGATGTCAAGTTTGACCAGGTTTGCAGCAAGTTGGCCAATGCTGCCGTACTGAGGCTTAGTGGGGACAATGTCACTGTGGTTCTTGTGTCTATTCATAAAAAACAAACGGCCAGCGAACAGTCTTAGATGCATGGGAAGTGTTTTGTTTCCACCAGATGATTTATTTTTGACATTACGTGTTTACTGTTTGGTTACCCTCAGTGAATACACTGGCAGTCAGAGTAACCAACAAAGATTGCCTGGGAGAGGGGGTGATGGCCAACCACTTTAAATTTTTCATGGTTCTCAATTTCCATATCTTGTGATAATCACCAGACATAACCATAATAAAGACACATAGAATGCTACACAGGTCTTTAGAGGAAAAAACTAATGAGGTGCATTATGTGCTTTAAATTTTAAATTACAACTCACAATTGTGTATACGTGGTTATTTTTTTTTCTTTCCAGAAAAGAACATGTACAACTCAGTTATACACTTCTCTCATTAAGAGGTGAATCTTTCTGCCTTCAGCTGGCATTTTTGTCGGGTTGACTTTCTTCCAGATTTCATCCAAAGTAACAGGCCATATCAGGTTTTTATTTTTTAAGTTTTGCCAGGGTTGTGGCATTACAGCCTACTCTTTGTGATTGTCGGTTGTTGAAAAGCGAAAGTTGCACACCTTCTCTTTCTTCATTCATCCGAGTGGTGTAAATACATTAAGCCTGTTTACAGCATAGCTGGAATATTTGCGCCATATGGCCAACACATTCAGCTTCTTCTGGCATTTGTTTTCTGGGTTGGCCTTCCCATTTAGTTTTGTGGGACACTGAGGGACATTTTACAGCTCCATCTGTGTGTTGGTTTTGTCATCCTCAGTTCCACGGGTGTCGTCCCTAGAGGACCCATCCATGATAGTTGCATGCAGACTGGTCAGCCCTCAGGGAAAGGCAGAGGCAAAACATGGACACACCATCTAAGGAGGCTTCCATAAGTGCAGAGACTATTGGCACCTCATGAGCTCTCGTAGTTGGGTCACCCAAAGAAGCATGATATCCTGCACATGAGTGCCCAACCTCAGATGCATACATAGAGCCTTCTATACGGGCTACAACAATTAGGGATCAGTATGTGTCTGATGCTGTAAAAGCCATCCCTTCTCAGGGCTGGTTGATGCCACCTATTCCATAAGAAAAAACCTGTTTTTATTATTCCAAGATGGCTGTGCCTACAGTCGATATCGCTTTGAGCCGATACAAGTATTGTTTTCTGTGAAATTTTGATAATTTTCGTTGAAGTGCTTTTTCAACCTTTTTGTCATGTCTGACGACGAAAACCAGACCAGCAATATTTAGGATTCAGAATCTGCCAGTGAATGTAGTGCTGAAAATGACAGTTCCTGGATAAGTAGAGATAATATATCCATGTGTAGCAATCATTTGTAATGGTACTCGGAAGGTTTGAAAACACAACGTTTTTTATTTTTTAATGATTTTTTAAAAAGAAGACTAGTCATTTTGACAAAAATCTTTAAACACCATTGGTAATGAAAGACAGTAATGCCCTGTATTGCTGGTCGGCAGTGTTAATATCATTCCAATTTCTTGACAGTACCTTATTTTTGCTTGCGCGCCTTATCTCTCGCTTCTCTTCTTTTGCAAGCTATTTTTTTCCATTTGTTTACTTTATCTTTGTTTTCTCAGTTAGGATATTTTTCTTTTACTCCTAAATAAAATATATCAGACCAGCTAGGCAATGCATTGAATGCATAAAGCAGTCAGAGAAAGAGTGAACCTAATACATTACATTAAATATCTGTTTTATCTATCTGGCTTTTGATATTTTTGGACTCAACATTTTTATGTTGAGTTCTGGATTACAAGTTGGGTTTTTCTTATGATAAAGGAAACACAATGAAATACGTTTGGCATTGTTTAAAAATTATCTTTTATCCTCAATATTTTCCCTATCTTTGCCATTGCTGGTCCTAAGCCTGGGAAAGAAAGGAGGAGGGATGGGTGGGGGCCAGCTACTCCACACTGTAAAAAAAAAAGTGTGCTACAGAAACTCATAGACTAGGAATCCATTATAGGTATGGAATGGAAGAATAGTCTGCGAGCTCTGTGTGATGTATAACAGCACAATAGTATGGTGATAATTCCCCACCCCCCTCCAGGGAGCACTAGTGCAGTGTTTGGTCTTTTTGCCTGCAGGCCTAGCGCTTGTGTACTTACATTTCCTCTGAGGTGGAGATATTTTTTCAGTGACATGGGTCTCCATGTTGATCCAGCTTAAAATGTGTAAATGTTAACTTTATATCTTTTTCATTAGAGGTCTCGTGACGACGTGGTCAAGCCATTTGCCTCACATTCTGGAGTCGTGAGTTTATTTAAGGATTGTGTCATTCTGTTCACAAACCCAATTTTTACAGAGATCCTGGGGATCATTACTATAGCTGCAGAGTTTGTGTTTTGTGTGATACTCTCGACAGGTGACTAGCCATTCTCTGGAAAGAGACAGTTATGTGGTATAAAGCCCGGTGAAATTAAGTCGATCCTGGAGTCACTTAAGAAAATAATGAAAATGATTTTTCTATTGATCTACCTAATATCTGATTTTTTTTTTTTCGTACATACTTCAGACATTTCTTTGCTTGAGTTTTTAAAAACTAATTAGTAGTTGTTCTTATATTTTACTTAGCTTTCTTCCCATGAGTTCCAGCTCGTTGATGGGGGGGGGGGGGGGGGTGTAGACCCACTGCCCCTCCAAGAAGCATGTTGCAAAAGTCGACTAATTAGGGGTGTTTCATTCAGAGTCAGAGTGCATCTGTCTGAGAGGCAAAGAAACCAACAGTCACTCAACTATCAGGTAACCACTCAATAAACTGGATCACTCAACCAGCTGGTAACCACTCAGCTGAGCGGTAACCACTCAATAAACTGGATCACTCAACCAGCTGGTTAACCTTTCAGCTAACTGATAACCACTCCCTGTGTTGGTTCCAGGCCCTATTTTTGAGGTGAAAGTAAAAGACCCACTGCCCCACAACAAGCACGCTGTAAATGACTTCTTAGTACACCAGCTGTAGGCTCTGGTGTAAAGTCCAGACTAGACTTCTTCCAGGCCTGAACTTTGCACGTTCATCCAATTTACTGGCTTATTTGTGTGCCGTTGTTCCTTGCTGCTCGGGCAGATGCACTCAAATTCGAAGGAAGTCCTCTATTAGTCGACTCCTACGACATACTTGTTGGGGAGACAGTGGGTCTATTCTTGTTTTCCCTACAGTGGGGCCGCAGAACCCACACAGGGATAAAATAAGAGTGCATCTGTCGGATGTGTGGGAACCAGTAGTCTGCATACAAATAAGCCAGATCTACCAAATTCAAGTTCTCTGACAAGTCCAAAGTCTAGAAGTCAGTGTACAGCCAAACTTGCTGCCAGAGTTTACAGCTGGTGAACGCAAGGAAAAAGAATAAAAACTCAACAGTCTGCAAAATTGTAGTGGGTAACCTCTCATCCAGCTGGTAACCAATCAACTAACTGATAACCACTGAACCAACAGGTAGCATCTCGACTGAATGGTACCCTCTTAACCAGCTGGGGGATGGTAACCAATCTTCTTTTCTTCCTTACGTTTGGTTTCATATGCTCAGATCAGACCATCAGGTGGGTTGCCCCTATAACCTTGCATGTCAGTAGCAGGTCCTTTATGGTTCCCCATAGCTTGCTCTGCACACTTTGCATTTAAGGCTAGGTGTCTTTTCGAAATTGTAGATAGAATGGGCAGGTCTGAAGAATGTGCTCAGGTGTTTGTAGCCCTGTTTGATAGGCGCACTGTGGGGACTGAATAATCTTCATTTTATGTGCGTGGTAGTTGAGCCTGCAGTATCCTGTCCTGTTCAGAGACAGGAAATTGTTTGTTGCTTTCCGTTGAGTCTGCTGATGGGGTCTTGTGAATGTTAACTGTTTTTTTTTTTTTTCTTCTCCAAAACTCCTTGTATTTTCCTTCAATAGGTGATTTCTGAGCCAGAAATTGCCTCCAGCTCATGGATTGGTGTGCTTATCATACCTTCATTGATGATTCTGAGACCAGTGTTTTGTATTTTGTCCAGTTTGTGTAGGTTTGATTTGGCTGCAGTGGAGTATGCTACCATGCCTTACTCCAGTTTTGGTCGTACGTATCCAGTGTATACTTGTCATACAATGTTGGTATCTGCACCCCAGCTTGTTCCAGTAAGTTTCTTCATAAGTCTGAGCCTCAGATAGCTTTCCTTTGGGTGTCTTCAGTGTGTGGGGTCCCAGGTAAGCCTTTTTCACATTTTACTGTCGTTACCCAAATATGTAGGGTAACCAATCTGACAACTTGTATCCAGCAACCGAGTCTAGTGGTAACCGCTTAGCTTAGCCAGCTAGGGCTCATCTATTGTAGATCTAATATCACATTTGTGTTTGTAGGTCTCACATGTCATTGTTAAATATTTATATTTGCCATCTTTCTTGTCAGAAAGAATGAAAATATTGTGTATAATAAAACATACCAACACTTTTATGAATATGTAATTCTTTATTTCGTTTCTGTTATGTTCGTGTGGTTTGTTTCTTTAGAATTTTGGAAAAAAATTCATTGTGTTGTTAGTTTTATTTTTATAACGTAAACATCTTGTTATTGTGCTTCTTGTGTATTTTGCATCTTGCATGTGTTTACCCAAAAAAAAGTGCTCACAACAAAAATCACAGCTTTTGAACTGAAATGCTAATGAAAAATTTAGAATACCGTGGATCAAGACGAAGAAAAACACCGACATACTACATGATCTTAGTGTGGAGGAGAATTGGCTCATAAACAGCAACTTGTCCCAAAAGGTGGGGCATTTTGGCCATGTTGATGTTATGGTGGCCTGGAGAGAACAGTGATAGACAGTTCAGTTTCCTAACAATACGGCAGAGGCAGGTCTCGTCAAGGATGGGTACAAAACAATGAAGATGTATTGACTGTGAAAGCATACAGGGCTGGAGAATTTGCTAGAGAAGACTCCGGTGTGCAAGATTGGTGAACCAGCACTATCCTGGGGCTAGCAGTGCTCACTACAAGAAGATTGGTGAACCAGCACTAACCTCAGTGCTCACTACAAGAAGATTGGTGAAT